AAAATACAAAATTCCTCACTGCAGTCGTTTCTCTTTCCATCCGCTTTTGTCTCGTAAAATACTGTAAAACAGAATGACTGGAGGAAACTTTACGGTTAACATTATGGGGACGTAATATGTTGTATTATTGATTCATTATTATTATCGTTATTATTAACCCTCCCCCCCCGCGCCGACACTAATACAAGAGATCCCCCGAGTGAAGGGTGTGAAACCCTTGGGGACGAGATGTGTTGTGTGACTTTACCCTTCAACGAGGACAAGTGTGGTCTCGGAATACGCTAAATGTGACGTCCGGAGCGAGAACCTCTTTATCTTTATGTTTTAAACATGTTGAGGTTAAGGATGGCAGCTTCCTCATACGTTGCACTCGGAGAGAAATAGTTGAGACGGAGATGTCTTTAGCAGCAGGGAGGAGTAACTTTTCACCAATGTTGTGAGGTTTACCTGCCTTAGCTATCCGTAACGCCACTCGGTATGATGCTTCGGTTGCCTTTGTATTCACAGTGCTAAATGTGTCAATGAAATTTTTCTGTGACTGCAATTCCTTGAGCTTCCGGTCAAAAAACTCCTGTGGCTTGGTCACCAAACATGGGTGTTTCGTCTCAATATGACACCGGAGTTTACATGGTCTCATACTGTCATTAGCTAGCACCTCGTTGCAGATAACACACTGTGGCAGGGAGTGTCATCAGGACCGGTCCATGAAAATCCTAGCTTCAAATAATCATTGTCATACTTCTTCCGTTTTCTGACAGACGCTGTCTCCTCTCTCACTTTAGGTAACTTCACTAAACATCTGTCCATATTTTGCTGCTCGCATACATTTAGCTGAAGTTAACTAGCTACATTTCACTGTTTCTCTTTCTTTTTTTCTGGCGGCTGCGCCTCCCTTGAATTTCTCTGGCGCCCCCCAGGGGAGGCGCGCTTCACACTTTGGGAACCCCTGAGGCTACTGCCTGGATATTCATCATGAAAGGCAGCTTTTCCTATAAATAAAATAATATGTTATCCTAAATATCTTGGTTTCTTCTTTTCTAAGGTTACGTTGTTCTGTTGTCTTACATAATACTCTTCAGTAAATAGTTATAATTTATTCAGGATAATCAGCAAAACTGAGCAAATAAGTTATTCGAGCCTAATTCATTCTCATCACAAATAAGAGATGATCACTGGCATTGGGTAGAGACAGAGCATCATCATTTTAAAAAGTGACATTTAAACGTTTCATCTCTGCCATGAAAACTAGTAGTACTACTGTAGGTCTCTAATTGAGCATGACGCTGTTATGTGGCACACCTCTATCTGTAAGGTGAGAGTCAGTTGGGTAAACTAAGAAAAGAAAAACAGAGTAGAATCCTACGCTAATGCCTTTACAATTTACCAGTCAATCCTAATATTCCATAGTCCTGATATTATTAGAAAACCAATGAGTTAAGTTAGCTTGTCTATGTGACAAACAGCTAAACTATCCTGACATTTTTGCACAGTATTATACTTAGCTCTAAGTAAACAGGGTGGTAGCCAAGATTGTATTAATACTTGTCAAAAAAATAACACAACACTTAAAATGCAACATGTGTAATCGTAGAATAAAAATCTAGCTCATCCTTCAGCTATAAGACGATTTATAAAAAGGCCTAGGATTGGTCAGTTTACCGGAATAGCCATTTAAGTACATTTAAAGTAAATAGTTAACATTTCTATGGCAACAAGCACCTGCTTTGCACATTTTCAGATTACTCTGCCACAATAAATGAACAAATATTACATCTTACTTCAGAATTTTAACATTTAAGTCTTGTTGACTTTGTGGTGAAATAATTGAAAGATTAGGACTGTGTTTAGGAGCATTCCTCAGGCCAGACACTTTGTTTTCACACAGTGAGCTCATCAGGTTGTTGTGTCTGTCACCAGTCTCATGTTGTCACCAGAATAAGCCACTGGAACCAATTCATCCAGATACATCATCAGCTCATAATCGCTTTGCGTTTATTTTTAGCAATTGTTCCTAAGGTGTGTCTCCGGCTAACAGCATTCAATTAAAAACACACAGCTAGGTGTGGGTTGTGAATTCCTGAGGTCTGAATCACTCTCTCATGCCCTACAGTCATTCTGAACCACAGTCACCAACGGCAACCAAGGCATTAGCATCGCTGCGTCTATCCTTAGCGGTAGGCGGTGTTAAGTAGCTTTTCTTGTCTTGTAACAGATGTGCTTTATTATATTTCCAGAGCAAGAGGAGGTGTCAAAGTGCAATCTAGCTTCTCTTAACCTGAATTCCTCAGATATTTCAAATAGGTGACATATATTTCAAAAACTAAAACAGTATTTTTCTTTGAAATGCAGCATACACTGAAATGACTGAAAACGTTTACTTTAATTAAATGTATTATGCCAGCAGATTTCAAAATTGTATTAGGTTAGTTGAAAGCAATAATTTTGCGTTTGAATAAAAAAGCGTTAGGTTCCACCTAATATTATTGCTTTCAGCTAACCTATTAGAGTTATGTGAAATTTGTTGACATAATACATTTAATTAAAGTCAACTTTTCAGTTTTTTCAGTAATCAGTCAGGAAGGTGAGCAGGGGCTGACTCCACAGGTCCTCTCAATTCAATTGAGCAGTTATGTAGGTTTTTGTGTTTCATTTAGATGTTCTTTTATCTCCTGAGACCTTTGTGAAAGAGCTTTACCTCCCTGACGGCTCACCGTGTGCTTTAGATAGATGCTGTACATGCAGAAGATGAATAAGACGAGTTGTTGAACTCTGTGTGCCGCTAACAGAGGCTTTTCCCTCCATCTCTTTCCCTCTCTTCTCATTATTTCTTAGACACCCTCATTTACATGTTC